TATCTCGTGAGTGTACTTTGACTTTTTTTGATCATTCGCTTGCGTTTGATGCACTGAGCAAAGCTTGGTGTTCGGTAATAATCATTTTTCCCGTATAAGTAGTATTTGAGGTGGTCGATTGCCCAAAAGACCCCCAAGAGTTCTCGCTCATTTTCTGAGTACTTATCTTCCAATGAATTCACGAATGTTGACGCACATGCGATTGCTACCCACCCCTCAGATGTATTCGGTTCTAGGGCAGCTCCTAAACTGAATGTAGATGCGTCACAAACCATGCGTGTTTCAATGTTTTGGTCAAAATGTTTACTTTGTGTAATATCCGCAACCAATTTTCGGTGCTTATCTGTGTTTTTAGTAGTGGGCGTAATACCGCGACAGTTTGTGCCAGGTGGGGAACGTATCTTGTAAGATGGTGTATGGAACTCATGAAGCTTTGCTATGGCTTCTGTTTTTCTTGTTAAGGGTGCCCTCGCTATCTATATTATGGCCGAGCCATTCAATTTGTTTTCTCGAGATCTTTTATTGTCTATCGAGATTGTAGAATTTCCCGCAATGTGTTTTTGTGGATATCCATCGATCCTTTAGTAACAATTATTAGGTCATCCAGATATGCATACTAGCAGTTTGGTAGTTTTGCAGTTTGTTTGTGAGGTCGATTGCTTTTTGGAATTCTGCCGGCATATCAGTGAGGCCATATAAGCCTGTTTGGAACTAGTATGAGGCTAATTTTGCATTGTTTGCGAGTTTGCTTATCCAACGGGATTTGCGAGTATGCATAACTCGAATCTAATGACGAGAGCAGCGTTTATTTTCTTGTGTCAGGTTTTATCGTTGGTGCGATATTATCGAAAAATAGCTCCATTTTTGGCAGTTGATATTTGATTTTGTGAATGAATTTGTTAATTTTCCTCGATTCTAGTGCGAGTTTCATCGTTTGATCTTTTTTCACGGTGATTACGATCGAACTGATGATTTGTTTGTCTGAACGTTTGTCTAATTTCACAAAATGTTTCTGGTCTATCAATTTGCTTACCTCTGTTTCAACTCTTTCTTGCAGATGAATTGGGATCCTGCGACCTTTGCTGAATAGCTGTCGCGTTTGGAATCAATTGCGTTTTCATCACATGGTTTTTAAGTTTCCCTACTCTGATGCATAGTTGTGTGAAATTGTGTTTCACCCACTGTTTCATTTCTAATTTGGACCTTTGCCACTCATTTTTATTTAAGATTTGGTAGCTTTGAGGTTTTTCTTGTATCAATTTTATCCTGATTTTTGGTAGTAGTTTTCGGCCGAGTATGTTTGCTTTTTGATCGTCTGCCACAATAAATGGGGCTAATTGGATTCGATTGCAATGAATAGTCGTCCTTTTGATACAAAAAATTTTCCATTATTTTACGCTATGTTTCGTGCAGCGTCTTCCGTAGGGATGTTTTTGATGACTGTTGAATTTTCGTTTTGTCGGTTGCCAATATGGAAAAATTATCTCTGTGTAACTCCTCCCATCCATTCTGCGACGTAAAGTCGGCAACGGCCAGTGGTTCATTCATTTCTATTATTTGAGTTTGATCAACTTCCGTACTGGGTTGGTCGTCATTTTTATTTTGTAGAAAGTTCTTCGATCTACAGACTTTTGCAAAAGGTCCCCGTTCTGCTCATTTTTCACAGCTTTTGTCTTTTGCTTGACATATCTGTAAATGATTGAGTACAAAAGTGTTTCCCTGTTTTTAGCATTGTTTTTGTGGCATGTTATTTTGTGGATTTCTGTTCTGGTTTCCGTGCGGATTTTGTTTTCTTCGTGGGTATCTGCCTCTATTCTGAATTTTGTGATTTTCCGCCCCGCCCTCGAGGTTGAAAAAAAGCCTCTTGGCTCTTGTTTTGTTTTTGAAAGATGATGAAGAAACGAATGGATTTGATTTCATGGTTCTGCTATGTTATATCTATCTTTTTCACGTCTGATAGTTTATTCATAGTGCTGACCGTGTTTCTGGTAACACTTCCTCTGCGATTTGTTCGTTGTTCATGTGTTGTGAATATATCCCGAGTTCCTGCATCCTCTCGGTCCACGCAGTCTGCCCTTGATGCAAGTTCCACTTAACCAGCATGAAATTGTTCTAACGAGTCATTTTTTACGACAAAGAAAATTGTATCGTTCGAATGCAATAACTCTTTCTGTGATCAAAAAAACTTTTAACACTTGCATTAGTGATTTTGTTCGTTTAGACTAGGTTTAACCCTGGAAGTTTTGGTTGAACTTGCCTTTGTCCTTCTGTGCCTAAACAAAGGAACAAACAACTTCTCACCTTCGCATCTGCATCATCCCATGGTACTGAGTTACACAAAATGCCCCCTTCGCGAACTTAAGACATTGATTTTCCCATCCGACACATTTTTATTTGTTTCTAACTTCTCTGTTCTTCCGTTGTTCTTCGGTTTCCCCTGTTTTTTAAACTTCCAAAAGCGGTTCTGTTGGATCGACGAGTTCCGGTTTTTCATGTAATTCTACCATTTCGACGACCGTGGCCAACCTGGACCCTTCTAATGGCGGCTCCACTGAAGCTCTTCACAAAAAAAATCATGCTAGTGGGTTTTTTGTAAATCCTGCTGACTGCGCTATATCATACCGCAGGGTATGATCGCTATCAATATTGGTGAACGGATTGGTGAATTACGAATAGCTCTTAACTGAGAGCACAAATAAAACAACTAGTTCGTAATGGTTTTGTTTATGGTCTAAACAATATATCTTGGTGTTATGCTTTCAGAAAATCAAGCAAGGTCATCTGCTGAAAAGGTTTTTGAAAGAAACAAAATTTAATAAGAAATAATAATAAGAAATTAGTAACAATAATCAAAATGCGCAAAAAACGAAATTGAACAACAGGTAACCAGTTTTGCTTAAACACACGCAAAAATTTTTGGGTGCGTTGAAACTCACATCTTATCAAAGTGGAAAAAAATCAATTACAATTCAGCTTCATTTACTTCATATATAAAAAAGATACAGATCAATCATAATAGATTTGCCGCAATGAAGTTCAATGCTCTATTAAAAAAAGCAATATATTCCATTTTTTATAATCGATTATTTTTCACTTTTTTATACTGACAAAAAAAATTAAATTTAATCACTTTTTTTTCATGAACTCCAGTGCAGGTGTCCATCCATTTTTCTGAGTGCTTCGTATATGATTTGTAGAAGACTTTTTCCTATCTTACAAGTTTTTAACGTTTTTGTATGATCACTTCTTTAAAAAGTACTGTATATTCTTAGGCCCTTAATCATTAAACCCATTTTGTGCATCAAAAGCGTTTTGTACTAAAGTTTTGAATGTTTTTAACAAGAAAATAACTAAAGTTTTGTTTAGCAAACAGTTTCCCCAGAAGAAACATTTATATGTCAGTTTTTTCATTCTTCTTCTGCATTTAGTTGTGTAATAACCTTCAGATTGCGATAACGGTATATACATCTTGCTAATTAGTCCGAATTTCAAAAGTAACGGAATGTTTGTGCTCTGGGTGTGTTTTTTTTCTTCAGACAAATTTAGACTTTTTAACTAGCCATTTTTGACGGAAATTTCATTATATTATTCAAAAGGTATTGTTTTGCTGAGCTTAAATTTGAAAAGATATTACACCTGTGATCACTTTTTATAAAGTTATGGGGGTTTAAAGATTACCATTTTGGCCACTTTCTGACAATTAACGCGCGATATATTTCGCGCTATTAAAGCGTAAGCGGAGATTTAATCCGTCTTAGAAATCGTTCCAAACTGGTTGAAAGAAGCTTATTTGCCATATTTGATTTGTTGCAAGGAGCGAAATATATCCTTTTGTTCTTTATATGGCCTGTGGGGGATGATTTTTATAAAAACTTTCAAACTTGAGAAAAAAATTTCATTTTTTTTATTACATTTAATTTTTTTAATGTTATTACTGGTCCGTAAACCTTAAGAGGCAGTCGGAGTTTTCAGGGCTTCGCCCTGATACGAGCAGTCTTGTTTTCTTTAATCATACTTTTTTAGACGCTAAATACTTTTTTGGCGTCGGTCGGTTCACTATTGGCATCTGCGAAAGAGGAGCACTTTGCGTACTTTAAAACGTTGTACTCTAATAAAAACTTTCTGTTAAAATGCATAATTTTTCGAAGGAAAACTTACTATCTTACGATTTTTTTCTTAATTGTTCTCGAACTTCTAAGATATCGTCTTTTGATCAATCCGTGAAAAAATTAGTAGCTAACAGAAAAATTCCAAAAAGTTTGAGATATGATATTCCGTCTCAAGAAAATGTTACTAGAAATTAAATTCATAGTATTCTCTGCAACGGAGCCTTAGGGATAAAATCGTTCACAGTTTAAAAATCTTCCTTTAACATCCTGTCATTCAAATCAAAGTAAATTAGAGAATAAAATTCATACTATATTCATTATATTTGAAAAATTCCATGCCAAATGAATAAATTTAAATCCCTTATAATCGATCTTATTTTATTTTTAGTCTCATTATAATCGATCGATTTTGTTTTGTTTGCCTTTATGATTAATCTGGAAAAAAAACACTTATTATAGCCTTTTTTGAAAAATATGTGTACGCTCTTTTCCATGGCAATTAGGCCCTTTCTCATAAATAATCCCTGATCCCCTCGCCACTCAATCACTCCCTGCCATCGGAAATTCTATTAGTCAAAACCAGCAGTGTGATATAAAATTTAATTTAAAAGTTTGAAGTTTGTCTGTATAGAAAATAACTTAGCATATTAAATCAGTTTTTTTTTATTGTAAAATGATCAGCAGTTTTGTTGTTCATTCGGGGTATGTTCAATTTTTTCACTAGTTTTCGAAAGGATCACTTTATGAAATTATCTATCAAGAAATATCTTGTTCCTAAAAACTTAGTAACATAACTTAGTAACAGAGAAAAGAACTCAATTAAAACACAATTATACTTTTCTCAATCTCATGTGGTTTGAGTAATGAAAATGGCTTAAGTTTGAAAAATACCTGAAGAGTGTCAAGTCCAACCGTAGCCATCAGTACTGAAATGTACTTTTCCATTTTTTCTGGTTTATAAGTCGTATGTATAATTGATTCGGTTGTAAATCTAGAGAAGTTTGTAGTCGAATATGTAGGAGTCGAACTGAAGTCGAAAACTGCGTCGAAGTATGAAGTCGAAGTTTGATTAGATGTCGTTCTAGCTGTCGTGTTTACGTCCATGTTTGAGTTGAAATTTCAAAGTATCAAGGCAACACCGAAGTTTTTGTTTTTGATCTAAAAAAATTACAAGCTGAGTCTGGTGTTTGTGTCACATTATGCAGTATATGCGTGTCATTACTTGTATGGCAATATACTACCTCAATTCATTAAATAGAAAAAAATTTAAAAGCAAAATTAAATTGGGGCGGCTTGAAAAGAGCCAGTTTTGTCAAGTCGGTTAATTAAGATGCTGAGTTATGAGCGAAGTGTATAACTCATAGAGTAATTTCGGATAGGGTACACCGTCTGCTCGTCACGCTATCTTATTTTCGGCCGGATAGATTCGTGCAACTTCTTAGTCTAATACCGATCCTAATCTTACTCTTATACTATCTAGTCTCAGGTTGTTTAACTAGTCTCTGCTAGGCTCAATAGATCTAGGGTATACTGGTTTATTGCGGCTGCTGAAGTGCTCGGGAGAGTCCAACTAATTTCTAAGTTAAATTCAAATCTCTCTGGTGCTGAAATTACAAGTAACTTCAGCACTTACAAATAAGTGGGTTGTTAGTTAGATGGATCATGATTGGTTAATATTAAATACTTTACATTGGTAAAACATTTAATTTATCCAATCATAAAATATAGTTTAGATCAGGTTCCACCCATCCGGGTTTTACAGAGTTTTTTAGAACAGTTCTTCTGTAATTCAAGGGTGGATGATGGACGTTGGTATTTGGCGAACATCATAATTTTCTTTCGCTTCTTCTTGTGACGACGACTGAGTCTCTTCAACAAAGTCAATTCTGATTCCAGAATGGTTGGCTATGTCAGGTTTTTCTGTTCTGCGTGGAGAACTTCTTTTGTGTATGATCTAGTTTGGGAATGGCGTGGAGATTGTGCGTGGAGGGGATGCCTGGTTACTCGGATCTGTACGTATACTTGAACATCGAGGTGGTCATTGGTCTAGTTCAATGAAGTCCTTTTCTGCGAAGTCAAGTCGTACTCTAAATCCTTTGAGTTGTGATTTTGAGCGGCATATCGATTGTAGTTGGTCATTCTCTCTCGAGTGTAGTGAGGTCGTCTTGTCTTTTGATGTTCGTCCTTGGTGTTGTATTCTGATCTATATATTGCATCATGTGATTTTACATTTTATAAAACTTTTATTAGTTTAATATTTTTTAATAATGATTTTAGTTAGTTGTTTTCACAAAAGCTTTTTGTTTTAGTTCGGTTATTTTGAAGAGTTACTCACCCTTGAGTAGCTCTTATTAAAAATAAAGGTGTGGTCACAAAGCGTGGATGTAGCGCGGTGGGTTAGGCCGGCTATAGAGCATGCTCAGGACGTCCTTTCCTGGTGGGTTAGGCCAGGAGTGGGAGTATGATTTCATGCGGTGTTTGTGAGGGGTCCTGTTATGTGACAACGTTTTATGTTGGGTTTGTTGTGGTTTTACTTATGTCTTGTTGGTTATGTACTTTTTCCAAAAAGCAAATTGTTTGTGGTATGGGTTTGTCTTTCGACTTTTTTGTGTTTTATTATTTCTTTCTAAGACTTTGTAATAGTCTTCAAAAGAATAAATTATCCAGTTTTAAACTGGGTTAATCCGGTTTGGGTACCGTTGGTTTCCTTTTCTAAGTCATGCTGTTATTCTATGATTTGTGGTATTTAGTAAGCTGCGTTGGTTAGTTTTGTTTAGTATATGATTCCTTTCCAACCGGGTTAAAGGAAAGTTTGAAACATGTTATTGTATGTTAGAGTTGTTGAGTGTGAAAACTTAAAACTGAAATTCATTATTTTAAACAATTCTTCGTGGGCGAGCTGTGCGAGTGTGGATAGAATTTCTGTGCGAATGAAAGAAAATATCAAAAGGTTAGTACTGCAATTGCATTTTATTAATTTACTGCATAGAATTTGGAAATTTACTGCTAGTTATGGGGGAATTTTAAGATACAAATTTTCATCATAATTAGATTTACTGCTTTGGGGGAAAAGATTATAGATGAATTTATTGCATTGATATTAAATTTAGAAATTTATAAGTGTAGGAGATTAATAGAATTTTAAAATTGTTTGATGAAGATTGTGATTTTTATTGTTTCTTTTGTGGTTTTTGTAGGTGATTGTGGGATGAAAGCTAAAAATCTAATGAAAACATGAATAAAGAATGGTGAGTTTTTTAATATTTCAATTAGTTAGTTATATTCATTTAATTCATACTTACCTGTTAGTCGTCGGGGAAAAAACCGTGGGGGAAGATATCGTGAATTAGTTCTGAAGTTGTTAGTAGTTTAGCTAAGATGCGGATGATATTTTTAGTTTGAAGCAGTGGCCAAAGCAATTGAAGTGCCTTAATAGTGGTTAGTTCTTCAGTGCCTACTGCAAACTCATAAGGTGTGTTTTGGATTAAGTTATATAATTTGTGGTTAAATTTAGTGTTGTGGATGAATTCTAAAATTGGGATTTCTATAGGTTGTAGGAACTCGTGCGGGATAAGGAAGGGTCGGGATTCTTCGGCGTTGAAGGTCTTGGTGATGGGGCAGAAAATGTACATTTGGGTTATGGGGTCATAATTACGAAGAATACCATGGAGGTTAGTGTCTTTAATACAATATGTGAAATTTAGGAAATACGGTGAAGTGTATTTTGAATTGATGAATTGGAAACGATGGTGTGGTTGTCTAGAGGGTGTGTGGAGGTCAAAGTGATTTTGGATGAAACGATAGTAACTGTATGTATGTGTTTGTTTAGTGCGCAACATAATATCGTGTGAGCAGTGTAAATCTCTTTCGTGTGGTGCAAGGAAATGAAAGGTTAGTGAAAATATTTGGAAGCGTTCTTTAAAACTTTCGTATGCTTGTGTGTCTGTTAGTGCTTCTGAAATAATGTGATCAAACTTGCGGTCGAAGATGTTTAGTGTAAATATATATGGTGTCTTGATGAAAAATTTCTCGGTGATTTGTGGATTAGCGAAGCGATCGTCGTCTAAGAATTGATCTTGGTTAGCTCTAATGATGTTGTGATCGTAGTATTCTAGTGTATATTCATTAGCTCTAGGTGCAGTGTGTATTTTTAGTGATTTTTTATATCCAACGTAAGTAAACTGTCTAGCGGTTAGTGGTGTAGTGAGTTGATATAGCATGTCCTTGTTTCGTTCTATATCGATGGAAGTACTGGATAAGGGTAAGCAAAGAGGGTTAGTGAAATGATAGTATGAGGTCCAAGAGAGAGTGGGCATTAAAACGTATTCATCTACAAAGTTGCGTGTTTCGTTAGCGTCGTGAGGGGTGTTTAAAGTGTATTGTGGAAACGAGGGTAAGGTGATAGCTAAAAATTCTTTAGTGTTAGTATGCTGGGGGTGGTTGATGTATTCACGGGCTGTTCCTGGTTTTGCTGGGAAAGGATGGTTGGGGAATTTTCTTTTAAAAGTGCGGTAAGCTCTATTAGTGTTTAGGGAAGATATAGTGGATGTGGATGATGGTGTTAATGATTCAGTATAATTTGAAGAGGGTGTAGGGGGATTTGATGAATTTGGAGTGGAGGAGATTTGGTTTATGGTCGGGGTGTTAAGGTACTAGGGTTGCTGTTGGAGGGTAATGGAATTATCTAGCTCTGGGGAGATTCGGGGGGTGTCTGGAGAATGAGATGATTGGTCAGATTGGTATGAGGAGTAGGTTGGGGTAACTTGGGAAGCATAAGAGGGTGTCGGAGTGATTGGGTCAGGGTTATTTGACAATATGGGTTGAAAAGGAGGTTGAGAAAAATTAGAAGGGTTATGAAAATTATTGGATGGGGATGGTTCTGAGTCGGCAAATTCATCGGGGGTTTCAATATTCGGGTTATTTAGCTGCGAGATGGAGTATAAAACTGAAATATGTGAGTTAGTGTCGGAATTCATGCCTGATGTTACATTGCTAGATGGAAAATCGGGTGGCGGAAAAGCAAAAAGTGGTATGATTGGGATTGAAGAGGTAAGATTGGTTGGATGGGAATTTGATCGGTGTAGTGATCCAAGTTGGCGGCTCATCGTGGGCTAAAAAAATTATTATTTTGAGACTGAAAAGCGGTGGTATGGGGTTGTTCAATAATTTGTTCATAAGTATTATCATCTTGTGACTGGTGTGTCATTATATGTTGGACGGGACTTTGTGATGTATTGAGTCGAAAATTTGGATTATGTGTGATTGCTAAATTTCGAAAATTTCGTGGGACTAGGGATAGTGGATGATTATTTGGTAGGGGTGGTAGTTGTGGTGCCGTTGGCTGTGTGTCGACATTGTTATGTTCTTCGTCGTATGTATTTTGTCGTGTTGTTATTTTTGTGTTATATTCTTTTATTTGTGCGTCTAAAAGAATTTTGTTTATAGATGTGGAAAAAAGTTCCAAAAAATCCTGCAAAGAGTATGCGTGCTACGCTTGCTTGTCTGTTTACTTGTGTGTGTATAGCACATGTATTGTAGATTCCTTTTAAGAGTGAGAAAAGAAATCCAATAAAGTTAAACATTGCGTATAAAATAGTCAATTTTTCTAAGATGTAGTAGGGCCATCCTAGAAAATCTAGGATCTCATTTTTGAGTGTAACAAAGCTAAAAATGTTAATTGGTGATATATCTTGGGGACGGCATTTTTCGCCGTTTAGATATATATAATCTTTAATGTCTTTAAAATATCCGCTATAGTCTTGTGTGTAGATATCGGCAAAACCTGCGGTTTCTGCAAGTTTGCGTAAGTTTTGGTCAATTGATTGTCTTTGTATTGTGTCCATTTGTGTTAATAATTCTTGGAATTGTTGTGTTCTAATGTGATGTTGAATATCTGATTTTGAGTATATTCCTATTGATTGTAAGTCTATATTTGGGTTTCGAGCGATAGCGCGAATGCTTTCTGGTGAAAATTTTTTGAGTGATTGCATTAATGTGGGATATGGAGTGAGAAGATAATATTTATTTTCATCAGGGTTTAGTTGTACTACATTGTGGCTGTTTTCTGATCCACATGGGACTGCGGTATCCCAGAAATAGGTTCTTCGTGAAAGTGTATCCACGAAATGTACTTTATTCTTATAAAAGATAGGGATTCT